TTTGTTAAGTTTAAAGTATTTAAATAGGTTTACTGACTTTTATTATGTATCATCTTTCTTAAAATGTGTTTCTTAGAATTTGTTTTGTTCGCTTGCTTTTTTATATAAGCAATTCTAATATTTAAATACTTTTCAGCATCGGCTTTCGTTAATACTTCGACGTGATTCACGTCGTCTTTTTCAAACTTATGGAAATGAATGTCTTCGTACAACGGAAGTTGCAGCAATGTTTCTGTTACTTTCGGCAGAAGAAAGTCTGTAGTTTAATCTAATCTTTTTTTTAGTCTTTTATTCTGAACACCCTTCCTAAATTAAAGTTCGCAGTGCTAACAAATAGCTATTGCATCACTTGAGGGAAATATCAGTTTTCCCTTGTCTCTATGAGCAATGAGACTGCCTTCATTGGCGTCATTTTCTGTTTCTTTGCATTAGTATTAAAACAGGCAGTATCGAAATATACACTGCATATGGCGCTGGTTTCGTCGGAATCCAGGTTTCACCTCTACGAACTACTTCTACCTACTTTCTCCTCCGAGAAGGGTCACTGGGAAATCTGAAAATTCGTGTAATTTATGTGTTTAAATATTTTAAGTACAGGTACTAATTATAATTTTTGCATTTATAATATTTTAATTAAATTATAAAATATATTATGATAAATTTAAAGACATCAGATTGTAGGATACTATTATATAAGTATTTTTAAGTGTTATTGTATTGTACAAATAACATCATCATATATTCGGTCATATCGTCAAATATCGATATATTTTTCGACATGGTCAAGCAATAGTCGATGTCAAATTGACTCACTCCACAGTTTTAGTCATTCGTTCGAAATGGTATAATCCAACCATTTTGTGATGGTTGTCAGATGTCAACAATACATAGAAATATCGACTATATTTAACATAGTTGGATAATGCAAAATTTTATTGTATATTTGATTAAATTTTGTGATAAATAACAATAAATGTAATAAAATAATACACTTACAAGTGAAAAGAAATAGTGCTGCTTCCGCCGCTATAGTTTTTACACCACTTAACTGAACATTTAGTCATTTTTGGGAGATGTTTTGTTGACAAGTAAATGCTTGAGACTGACGAAAAAATAAAAGACCAAGGCTAGAATTTCCTGGTTACTGACAAGACTGGTATAGCTAAGTTCGCTTATATGTCCAGTGGTTAATTCGTTCAAGGTAATGAGCTAATGAGTAGTTTACGTAAAGAATAGACCTACACTACATAATTTTACACAAGGGTACCGTGTAGGGGCGGCGTAAGGATATCCGCTACCCCATTTCATGGGTGTCGTAAGAGGCGACAGAGGGAAGCAAACTAGAATATGAGCAGCAGCGTCGTCTTATAACAACTAAAAAAAACTGCGGTTACCTGCATGCGTGGCAACTAAGGCAAATATCACCCTATGAGACCTTTTTTACTGGAAACGAGGCATTCCATCTTAGTCCTCACGGGTGACAATGCATCTGCATTTTGATTTGTAATCGAGGGTAGATGTAGATGTCTATGGGCCGCAGCAACCACTTACCATCAGGTGGACTGTATGCTCGTTTGTCACCCTATCCTATAAAAAAATTTATGGGTGAGGCCTATGTCCTGCACTGGACTTCGATAGGCTGTTGGGCAGTTGTAAGTGGTTTGTTATTTTTAGTAAGTACTCAATAATATAATATATAAGTATGAATATGTTCCAATAGTCCTTAAACGTAATCTAATTTCAAATTCGTCTCATAAATCTTCACACATTTAGTAAAACATTCACGGCTATTCTGTCGCATTAGTCTGGTCTGAGACAGATAATCAATCACTCGAATTGGCTATAAAATACTTCTTACATGAATAATATTACGTCTACGGAATCGTAAATGATATTTTGCATACTAGTAATAACATTAAGTCTACAACAGATTCCCGGTTTTGTCTGTGAGTATATTTTAATAAATTTTTAATGGTTTGTTGGTAATGATAATGATGGTTCAGCTGGTATTCTTTTCACGTTCAATATAAGTGTTAACTGTTATATACCCTCCATATTTTATTTATATACTGCAGCAACGCGGTTCCCAAACAATCCGCTTCTAGCTGTTTTACTACGTCTTTTATTAGAGCGTCAATCTAAATCTGGAGTGGCAAAATTACGCTAGCATTAAGGCCTGTAATAGATCACAAACAAAAAGAAAAGTAATAATATTAAAATGTTGTATATTATTGTTTTAATCGTAGTAAAAGGAAAATCGATTATCGATTATTATTTAAATTAGACTTTACTAAAAGCCGTGTTGTCTCTGCTAAGCGTGTCCGTGCTAAGCGCTCCCTTGTAAATTTTACTGTTCGGGATTTTAACGCCTTCGGTGGTGACCGATACGGAACGATTCGGGAGCGATCCCCGCTGAAGTCGTTAAATTCCATAAAGAACCAAATTAATCGATTGATTTATCGCGTACTTGGCGATTGAGGAGAACATCATGAAAAAATTTGGATGTCTAAGGAATATTTCGAAGACATGATTTAATGTATGCCTTTGCCTTTTAGAAAAATAATTTCTTTTATTACGCCCATCATTTCGTTTATTTTTTTATTTTGTTATTTTGTCATATCATAGCTTATTGAAAATTTATTTGTATTTCTCCTATATATATCCTATAAAAAATAATGTTTCATAAGTATACAAAGGTCTAAATTCTTTACAATATTTCTACAAGACATATATTGGTGTTCGTATATTCGGTCATATAACGTCTCCATTAACATTAGTGGCAACGTTGATAGCATTTAATAAAATATTTATGTTAATACCTATTCTTAATTTACTCGTAATCAACGTAATTTTCGTTATACTGAAACGGATACAGAAACAGAAACTTTTTTATTCAATATAGATTATAAATAATACTTATTGAGTCACTTCTTTTTTAATTTACCACTGGTTCGGAAAAATACCTCTGTCCTGGAAAGAACCAGCAAGATACCTAGCGGGACATTTTTTTAAATCACAGCTTAAAATCATGTATGTTACTCAATTAACAACACATATTAAATTAGAAAAAGCTTGGTAGCCAAAGCCGTCTTAGGCCATACCGGGGTTTGTGACCCTGTTGGAAAGTAAAAAAAAGTGAATGACAAAAACATTTTTCTTATATTTATTATAGTTAATTGGTAAAAATCAATAATATGTCATTAATGAGGGCATCCATGACTTTCTGTCACCAGGGCGGCACCACTTTACAATGAGGTAAAATATTTGACAGATTTCATAGCGGGGACGATAATTTCTTACGAAAATGTAAACTCCTAATCTTTCTTTCAATAAAAGAAAATCTTCTATAACAACATCAATACGTGTATTCTTTTTATTTATTACATTAATATTTAGGTTTCACTTGTCTAAAAATAAGGATCGTAACAATTATTTGCTATAAAATCTAATATTTGTGGTTGAAAATTATCACATTAAATAAATCATCTGCGGTTAAATCTTTTTAGGTGTTATTTTTATTAAACATTACAAAATGATATTTTTATCTCATAGATTGTACATACAAAGATTGCCGAAAATTAAAAAAAAAGAAGGCTATAAGTTGTATGGCGACTGTACAGCCCGACAAAAACGTTTAGATGGCGGCCAAACGCGGAACTACCTACATATTTTCTACCCAGGAAATCTGTCAATGCCACTTTTTCTGGCTAACTAGCCAATGTGTGGCTTGGCACTGCTCAGGGTTGCCAGAAAGTCACTAACAACGTCCTCATTTACTCAATTTTTTTTGTCGGGTTATATTTTCCTGAAATATAAAAATGATTGTATAGCATAAGCCAATAAGGCCGATGACTTTCGTCACGGGGGCCGCCGTGACGATGGAGGCCCGGGGCACGGGCCCCGTGTGTCCTTATGGTAAAGACGGTACTGTTATACTATTACTTTACTAATATACTTATTTACTACTATAAATTCCTCAATATTATAATAACCCCTATTTTATACAAACTTAGTTTAATAACATAATATTTCTATGTTTAATAAGTTTTTGGGTGCGGGTCAAAATTTGTATACTCTTATTTGGACTTGTACAATTTAGGTTTTATTAATCAATGTAATTGACTAAAATTGGCAATCTACAAACATACGGTATTTAAGCTTTTTCACATTAATTTACTCCTTTATAAACAAAGACACAAATTAATTTAAATGCAATAATACTTACGCAATAATATTTAACACTAGTTAAACCATTTTACGTTATTCAAAATTAGAAAATTGAAACAAGGTTATTAAATTTTTTATAATATTAGTACCACAAAAAGAAAAATAGGTAGAAATTTACCGATAAGATCAGTAAATAGAGGCTTTTTTTACTGATCTTGTCGGTAAATTTTCTCTTCTAAATTCTATTTTCCAACATTTTATTATTGTTTGAAAGTTAATTTTGCCAAAATGGCAAAAGGCAAAAGTCGCTTTTTAGGTTAGCACGGCAGATTTACTTAGCTTTTATGACCTTTATATAGATATAGTTAAAATTCAGACAAGCAAATTTGCAACATAACATATAAATATAAGATACGGTTAATAAAGCTATATATTATATTATAATTTATGGAATCCGCTTCCAAAGTTTTATCCCCCGTATCTTGCAGCCAAAATAATATTTTATAAACGTTTGTTATACGATACTATACGCAACATAATTTATAAGTTACGCCTTTATCCATCAAAGTGGAGTAAGACGGAGTAGAGAGCTATGTAATAAATAACCAATAGGATTTAATTATTTTACAAAGACCTCTGCGTTTAGCTTCGTTGCACATGATTCAACGAAGAACGGAAAATAAAGAATCTCTGTTCGTTATTTATTGGATCACTTTTTATGCGTGGTAGAGCCATGCTGCAGTTATATTATAGTTTGTGCCAAATCCATTGAGAAAAACGGACGATGACCTCAGATATGATATAATTAATTTAATTATTTTAAACGAACCGAGATGTCTTCTACTGGGAAATGTGCTGGTTGTCAGAATAAAATAACTAATCGACAGTTTATGTGTTGTTGTTCATGTAAACTAAAATATGATTTGGACTGTGCCACGATAAGTGAAAAAACTTTCATTTCGTTGGACAAAGAACGTAAAGCTGTGTGGATATGTCATGCATGTAAAAATCGTCAACCTAAGAGTGATAACCAGAACACTCCCATTCGCGGCAACACAATGTACTCAGAAGGCTGTATGGAGAAGGAGACAGAAGAATTGGGAAGCAATTTAAATCTTAAAGTGCGCGCCAAGTCTAACAGGCGGGAGGTCAGCCCACTACCAGCAACTATAGAGGAAATCGGCGACTTGCTTGATAATAAATTATCGGACACAATTTTTCGCAAATTACGATTAACTATTCTGGAGGATATCAAGTCAATAATATCTCAGGAGATTAATTTAGCCCTCAATGAGTTCAAAAACGAGCTGACGCAAGCTACTGACTTTTTAGCTGCTGAACGGGCGGATTTGAAAGTAAAGTTTGAACAAAAAGACAAAGAAATTAAAGATTTACTGACTCAGACTTTAAAACTTAAAAAAGAAGTTTATACCCTCCATGCTCGACTGTCTACAATTGAAAAAATCTCTAGACAATAACTTGGAAATTAACGGCATACAGGAAAAGGCCAGCGAGGATCTGTTTAGATTATTTCACACCCTCTGCAACACAATTAACTTGCCAATTGCGGACAGCGACATTCGTGCCTGTCGCCGTGTGGCTAAGATGGATCAATCTTCGAGCAGGCCCCGTTCAGTATTAGTGACACTGACATCGCCGCGTATTCGTGATCGTATCCTTGAAGCCGTTAATAAGTTTAATAAAACTCAAAGTGGCAAACTAAACTCGAAACACCTAAATATTGATGGTGCTACTAATAAAATATATGTCTCTGAACATATTTCACCTGATTGTAAAGCATTATTCAGAGAGGCTAGAAGAGTAGGTGAGGAGAAAAATTTTAAGTTTATTTGGGTCAAGAGAGGAAATGTGTACGCTCGCAAAGTTGAAGGTGCTACTCCCGTGCCCATCAAAAACAATGATTGCTTAGTTAACCTAGTTTAGTCATATCTTCCATTTATTTGTTTATTTTATTTTTGTGTTCACTTGGTTTAAGTTTACTTTGATAAAAACTTATGTTATTTTATGGGTAAAGGAAAACAAAGAAAGTATTTCACATTAGGTATTTTGAATGTACGTTCGCTAAATACCGGTTTTGAGGAACTTAATCAAAGTATCCAAATTAAGAATTTTGATATACTATGTCTTAGCGAGACTTGGCTTCATTATAGTTCCAATATTGACTTGTATTCAATTTCCGGCTACAGAGTGCTGCACAACCCTCGTATTGGTCGTGGTGGTGGTGTTGGTGCTTATATAAAATGTAACTTACGTGCAAAGCGCTTAGATCACCCCCTGGGGAACTTGAACAGATATGGTTTAATGTTAAAATAGGTAGTGAGACTGCTGTATTTGGTTCGGCGTATCGTCCTGAATCAGTGAGTGTTGGTTCAGCTATAGACTGTTTGCACGAGTCTCTCTCGTTTTTTATAGCGCAATATGATCAATTATTTCTTGTTGGTGACCTGAACATTGATTGTCTAAACAACGACGGCCTTCCATATACGCCTAATTGTCTCAAGACCCTTACTGATACATTTAACCTCCATCAAATCGTAAACCAGCCTACACGGGTCACTTCTACTACGAGTACCCTGATTGATGTTATCTTTACTAGGACACATCTTAAGCCCATTTCTGTGGAAGTGACACATAATGATGATCTTAGCGATCATGGACTGATTTCAGCGAAATTTCCGCTCGCGATTCAAAAATCTAAATGTATAATTTCATACAGACCTATAGCTGAGTACACAATTTCTATAAACAATGCTGCTAAATACACGCCATGGGAGCTGGTACTAGTACAAGATAGTATCGATAATATGGTAAATACCTTTAACAATCTCGTCACCGTAAAAGCACTTTTAAACTACCCCCTGCCCCATGGATGACTGATACTCTTAGAAAAATGAAGTCAATTCGTGACAAGGCTTGCCACCGGGCCAAAACTATAAAATCGGAAAGTAGTATGCAATTTTACCGCGATCTGCGCAACTATTATAACCGAGCAGTTACTCTAGAAAAGCAGGCATATTTTACTAGGTTTGTCAATAATAATAGGTCAAATCCTTCTCAGATGTGGCGTCACATAAAACGAATAATTTCACCTGCCGTAAAAAACCGTTCCATACCGGACCATCTTCTTGACCCTGATTCACTTAATAATCACTTTACAAACATCATATCATGTGCACCTCCCGACAAAAGTGTTATTCAAGAAATTGAATCACTTAAACACTCTGAAATCGAATTTCAATTTGTAGCCGTAAATGAAACGTTAGTGAAAAGTATAATTGCTTCTACAGCTACTAATGCGACCGGAACTGATGGCATCTCCATGTTGATGTTAAAACTTACGCTTCCGTATTCTTTGTCAACGATAGTGGCGATGGTCAACAAATCTATATTGGAAAGAGTATTTCCAGAATCTTGGAAATGTGCCATCGTCACTCCCATTCCTAAAAAATCAATGGTGAATAATCTTTCTGATATAAGACCAATAAGCATTCTTCCTGCACTATCTAAAATAGTTGAAAGATGCGTTCTTTATCAAATTTCACCATATCTAGAACGTAATCAAGTACTACCTGTGATTCAATCTGGTTTTAGAAAGAATCACAGTTCAGTATCAGCTCTTTTAAATATTACTGATGATATTCTTGCTGCGTCCAATGAGGGTAAGGGAACAATTATGGTTTTGCTAGACTTCAGCCGCGCTTTCGATTGTGTTGATATATCTATTCTATTGGCAAAATTAAAATACTATGGTTTCACAGAATCGGCCTGCATCTGGTTTCAATCTTATTTCCATAATCGCTGCCAAAAAGTGCAATGTTTGAATAGCCAAGGAGTTCTAAATGTCTCCAACACGCTCCCCTTTAATAAAGGTGTTATCCAGGGTTCAATACTTGGTCCCACATTATTCGCAATTTACATGGCCAACGTTACTAAAAATATAATTCACTCGGAAATTCACTTATATGCAGATGACAGCCAAGTATACGTTCACACAACGCCAATTGATGAGGAGGTTGCTGTTGCTATTTCCAAGTTAAACAAAGATCATTATTCTATTGCGGAGTGGTCTTTGAAACATGGCCTGGTACTTAATCCCTTAAAGAGTGTCACCATTACCCTTGGAACAAAGCACCAGGTAAAAACGATTAATGAACGGAAGTCTCTTGTTAAGATCTTTGACACCGTCATACCTTACGAGGGTTGTGTTCGCAATTTAGGTCTCCTCATGGATGAGAATTTAAAATTTGAGCAACATGTTCAGACTAAAATCGGTAAATGCTATGGTTCGTTAAAAACTTTGTATAAAATTCGCTCATTTCTAAAACGTGACATAAGACTGCTGCTTTGTAACAGTTTAGTACTATGCCACCTTCATTATTGTGATATTGTTTATGGTCCATGCCTATTTAAAAAAAACTGTGAAGAATGTGCAGAGAGTGCAGAACGCATGTATGCGTTTTTGTTTTAATATACCGAAAAGGGATAGGATTTCACCTTATTTAGTTAATAATGGCATTTTAAATATGTGCAATAGTACTAAATTAAAATATGCATGCTTTCTGCACACTCTGCATCACGCAAAGTCTCCAAGATATCCAAGGTATGATAAGATAGCCGTTGAAAAAAAAGTTTGCTTTCAGTCAGAGAAAATAGTCATCGGCTTCCACTACCCAGGATTAGCCTCGCTGGAGCCAGGGGGTGTTTTAAATTTGCCGCTGCTAAAATTTGGAACGATTTGCCACCACCAGTCCGATCTACCCTATTTCCGTCTACCTTCCGACAAAGATGCCGCAAGTGGCTTATTCAAAAACAGTCCCTGGCTCTATGTGGCTTTGATACCCCCTCAAATTAGACAACTGTTTTTGTATTTAGAAAGTATAATTTATTAATTGTTTTATTTTTATTTTTACTTTTTTATTGTTGATACGTGTGTTTCATCAATTGCCTAAGACCCTGTATGAATTATGCGCAAAGGCTGTGGCAGAATAGCAGGAGTAATGGGTTTCCCTTTACAACTGAGTCACAGACCGTTTTGTCACAACTAAAAAGTTATTATTATATTTATATTATAATTATTAGGCTCTCTATTTAAATTTTAACGTTGTATTTTTGTGTGGCAAATAAATACTTTTTATTTATTTATTATGAGCCGAGTATCAAAAGGCGTAACTTACAAAATCTCAATTTAGATATGTAAATAATATTTATCTAGGTCAGCACATATGTTTTATTTTTTGTTTCTTAAATAATATTGTCTGTGGTTCCTATAAACATCGTCACGAAAAATGTTTTATATTTTATATTTCAATTTATGGTAGATAAGTAACGCAGCAATTCATTTAATAACAGTTTCGAATTAAAAAAATATTTGAAGCAATATAAATATTGAGCTTTTGCAAATTCATGCCTTTAAAATAAACAAAACGCGCGTTACGTCAGTTCGTTCTAAAAGAAACGTGACAATGGCAGCCACAGATGCGTCACATTTTTGTGTGTATAAAAATAAAGTTCTTATATAATATTGAAAAAGAAGTTTTATCTTTTGAATAAGTACGTATTTATTCGGTTTCGTTATCACTCGAATCTTTATATGTGTTATAAATTAATGCTTTTTGTTGTTAAATGTAAATATATATAATTATTAATAAAAATAAAGTACTTTATGACAATAGATGATTTTTCTTCTACAGCGATCTTTTACATAACTTTTTAATAATAGTTAATAAATATATATTATATCAATCATTATAAAAAAATCATTATAAATAAAGAAAGTACTACATATAAAATGTGCCTATATATTTAAGGTTTGTAACCACTGGTTTAACGACCAAAAGGTAAATTGTCCGTTTTTCTCAATCGATTTGGCACGAACTAGTAGTATAGTTGTAGCACGAATGGGTCGGCTCGACCGGGGACTGGGACACGCTCTCACAGAATACCAACGTAAAATAGTAGCTTTATGCTGCTGTGTTTCGTATGGTGTAGAGAACCGGAGACCCTTTTTACTGAAAACGAGGCATTCCATCTTAGTCCTCACGGGTGACAACGCATATGCATTTTGATTCGTATTCGAGGATAGATGTAGATGTCTATGGGCCACAGCAACCACTTACCATCAGGTGGACTGCGTGCTCGTTTGTCACCCTATCCCATTAAAAAAAACGTTTCTTCGTTAATTTTTGTATTTTATTTTATCGCTGATCTGATAGACGAGACGATTAAAATACTATCATAATGTATTATTGAAATAAATCAACCGCCTTTAATTGTTGGGGGTTGAAATTTACACCTGTACTTTAGTTGGTTCATTGAATCCAGAGATAAAAAAGGTACAATAAAGTTAGGTGTTATTTCAATGGTGCGGTGCGGTGGTACTTCACGTTAGACCGAATTATTTCTGCTTGGCTTAATTTACTGGCGCGGCGAAGAGATGTTGCATCCACACAGATAAATT